GAGAGAGAGAGAGGGAGAGAGGGAGTTATTCAACCTTGAGCATCAAGAACAAGGGACCATGGACCATGATCTGGGACCCAACAGTGGAAGACCAGCTTCACACTGGAGATTGATCCAGGAGGACCACCTTAAGCAGCCCCTGAAGCCCCTGTTTTACCACCCAGCCCCGCTGCTCTAGGACTGGAAGGGATCCCTTCCCACTGGCTCATTGTCTGCAGCCAAGGTGAGTAAAGCAGTACCCTAAAATGATAAACTGGAGGCACGTGTGAGAAGCAGGCAGGCTTGGTCTTTTATCCTGGCTCTCCTACCTCACAGATGTGCACTACAGCCTGTGACATCACATCCCACAGTCTCTGTGATAGGGACATGAAAACATTGCCAACAAAGGTGCCTGAGAGAATGGGTGGGTTAAACAAGGGAAAGCTATACGTGTTAGGTCTTCTGATTGTGTTAGGTGCCTTCTCTCCCTGTCCCCACCCTTTCATAAAAGAAAACATCAGGAGGCCGGGCGTAGTGGCACATGGCTTTAATCCCAGCACCTGGGAGACAGAGGCAGGCAGATCTTTGTGAGATTGAAGCCAGCTCCCTGGTTTACATAGTAAGTTCCAGGCCAGCTGGAGTTACTTGGAGACCCTGGTCTCAACACATGAAAAGGAAACAGTAAAGGAAAAATTTGAGGATTAGGGAGATGAAGTAACCTAGTAGACGTCAAGTAGCAGTAAGCAAGAAGGCCTGGCATTGAACCCAGGGTGTCTTTGTCAACAGTCACAGTTGATCTCAATTGAGCAGTCAGGTAGGGCTTCCTGGAGGAGTCAGAAGCAGGCAGAGCTGGTGGGGGGAGCTTGTCAGGGAGAGGGTCAGCTGGATCAAAGGCTTGGAGGTGGGAAGGGTTCTACTGAGAGTGCCATCTGTTTTCCCCTTGTATGGTCTTCTACTTTTGTGACTGACATTCGCTCTTGCTGTCTCTTGCTCTCTTGCTCTCTCTCATCTATCTATCTATCTATCTATCTATCTATCTATCTATCTATCTATCTAACTAACTAACTATCTATCTCTCTATCTATCTCTGTCTATCTGTCTGTCTCTATCATCTGTCTATCTATCAATCATCTATCTATCTATCTATCTATCTATCTTCTATTTACCTATCTATCTATCATCCATCTATAATTTCTGTGTAAAAGAAAACCTGTGGTATTTGCTTTCTGATTCTGGCTTATTTTGCTTAACATAATTATTTCCAGTTGCATCTTGGTGTTGCAACTGTCATGCCTTCATTTTCATTTATGGATGAATACAATTCTGTTGTGTCTCTGTACCACATTTTCTTTACCTGCTGCTGGACACCTAGGCTGGTTCTTTTTCCTGGCTCCTGAGACTATCACAGCAGAATCTACTCGGGCTATACATTCGGGTGTGCGGGTGACACAGAAAGGAAAAGGGGCAATCTCACCAGAAGCCTTGGGGTCTCTGCTGAGGGCTGTGCCGTGGGGACCCAGTGCTCTGCCCTTTCCTTTCCCCTCCTGCCCTGTGCCATAGGAGTCAGATGTCAAGCTTCCCAGGAGATGCGCATTCCCCTCACCCAAGCTGGGGCAGCTCACGACATAACAGGCATAGGGGATGAGAGGCAGCTGCCATCCAGAGAACATAGCCCTGTAGGCCAGCTGGGAACACAGTGCATCAGGGCCATCGGCACAGCCCAGAGTCAAGGGCCTGCCAGTCACCTGGGCACAACACTGAAGGGGCAGGAGAGGCCTTTGATGCAAGGTCAGGGGCTTGGAGGCAAGCAGGACACCCTGAATTGTTGGAAGGGCTTTTTCCTGCTGTCCCAGGAAACGGCAGACCCAGGCCTCTGAACATGGCCTTCTGGGAACCTGACCCAAGACAACAGGACATAGCTGTCTAGAAGACATGGACCTTAAGAGAGGCAATGGTACGTTCACATCCTACTTCTGCCACTCAGCCTTGTTTGAGTGACCGATGGTGACTGAGTGATGCACTCCGAGCCTCAGTTTCCCCACCTGGAAAGTGGGGATGGTAGTATCAGCATGGTTAGCTGTGAGATGCGGAGAGCATGCCGTGCCTGAACTGAACTTGGTGAGGATGCCCATAGAAAGCAGAAACTAAGGCAGCAGCAGTCAGGTGGAGAACAGCTCATGGCCTTGAGCATGTGGGCCAGCTCTTTTGTGACTTAACCTCTCTTTTGTGATGCCCATGGGGTCAGTCTAGGGAACAGCATTTGTTGAGAACCTGCTTTGTTCTCAGTGCTGCACTGAGCACAGTTCATGTAGCAACCCATTCAGTCCCTACAAATATCTTTATGAAACAGGTCTTGTTTGCCTCAGTTGTACAGGTGAGAAAACCAAGGCATGAGGCTGTGGAAACTTGCCCGAGGCACGGGGCTGAGGAGTGGAGCTGGTGTCACCTGCAAAGCCCATTAATTTTCCCAAAGTAGAAACAGGCAAAATTTATAGTAGCCTGCTGTCCCACCTGGATGTCTGACCTTGAACACAAAGAGGAGTGTTGAGCAACTGGCTGGCCCTCCGCCTCCCTGCTCCAAGAAGCCCTTGCATCACTGTTTTCAGAACCCAGAAGCACCCCTGACTGACCTTGAGCTCATGTTACTGATGCAGCGGTGTCCATCTTTGCAAGGCAGACATGCAGCGGGTAGAAGGGCCAGCATGTGGGAGGGCAGGAGGCCAGAGAGACAAGGGTCTAGTTTACTCACTGGGAAGTGTGGAGGGGCCAGGGACAGTCATGGAGGAAGCGAGGAGCAGAAGTTAAGATATGCCCTTCACCACTACCCGGGGCTGTCATGATCTAGAGCTCATCAAAGAGGAGAGATCAGTGGGGCTGCTGGGGCATCAGGAACAAGGAGCTAGGTCCCAAGGTCATAAGACTCCTGGAAAGTGAGCAGGCTTGGAGGCAAGCAGGACACCCTGACTTTTCAACAAGTGGAAACTGGCAGGTCGAGCCAACCGGGAACAAATAGAGGCTAAGTGCAGTCATGGGAGTTGTCAAACACTGCAGAGTGAATTACTCAGGGGGATTCAGAAGTGAGCTGGTATAAAGGAAACCACAGCCGGGCCTCTGCCATTCCCTCTTGTTATTGATACCAAGGTCAATGATTCATGGCCAAAGATCACAATGTATTGTTTATCTAGTGAGGAGACAGTCTATAGCCCCACCAACCATTGAGATGTAAAGTAAATATTGGAGGGCTAGATGATAAGCATACGGGGATTAAAATATTTAAAAGTAATTTTTAGATAGCCCGGGAAAATTCTCAGCATACAATTTTAAGTAAAACGTAGAATTTTCTGTAAAGCCATATATTATATGCATGGTTTTGTAAATTATAATTGGCTAAGCCTGGGAAAATACATGCAGAAGTACTTTGTAATACCTAGCTGTGTTTGGGGCATGTGATTATTATCTAACTTACTTATTTTTCAATTGTCCAAGTTGAGCTTTTGTTGAAAGAAAGAAAGAGAAAGAAAGAAAGAGAAACAAAAGACTAGAAAATAGTTAATGGATGACAAAGCAAATTTCTGTCCTGAGTTCCAGGGCTGCGTGAGTAATATGCATAAATTGTGTATGTAATTAGTGTGTGCGCGCGCGCGCGTGTGTGTGTGTGTGTGTGTGTGTGTGTATTCAATACCCATGCCAGTAAATTTCTATAACCATGTAAAATGTATCCTTGCAAAAATCTAAGGATAGCATAGCTGGTCCCGTGGCCCACAGCTAAAGTGAAAGCTGCTTAGAGCTGGGGGATGGGGGCTTTGTGGCCAAGGATCTCAGAGGAGTTGAGCTAGAATCCCCAGTGGCACACAGTGCTGAAATCAGCTCAGATATTGGCAGAGAGAGTTTCAGGGTCTCAGGGGACACTGTTACTGCGAGATCTACATATGTTATACCTTGTTACACTGCAGCTGACAGTGTGGCAGCTGAGCTGAGGCCAATGTGTCACAGTTATAGAGATTAAAGTGTCACATCATTACACACTGTACATTATGGTGAGCTGATCCCTCTCTGTTACTATTACTCTAAGGTTAAGATGTATTATACAGAAATATAACAATATGCTACACTCTACTAGAAATGAACAAAAAATGTTTGAAACATTCCAAATGTTTCTTCAGCTGACTGTATGGGCACGCACACAGCTAGCATGTGAGAGGAGGGAAGTTTCTTGAAGCAAGCCACCCACAATTTCAGCATTTGAAATGTGCCCCCAAACAGAAGCCAGGTGAGAACTAATATTGTACACCATGACATCAGCATTCGAGAGCTTTGCAGGGGAGGGGACCTGGCTTTTGTTTTGTTTCCCTGAAGTGACTCAGGAAGCAGTAAACTGAACCAGTGTGAACCTGGCACATTCTCCTTGATTTGGAAATGGCAGAGCTCTAAGGATGGTCCAGGAAGGACCTGAGGACACAGCTTTGGGAGAGAAGGAATGAGGAAACAGTCCTCCTCACCCTGTCAGGGAACAGTATCACTTCCTCTCCTTCCTCCCTACTCCCTCTGTTAAGCCCTGTTAAAGTGCAGCTTGTCTGATGAGATGACAGTAAACTGGGTCTTTCCACTCTAGAGCCATCAGAGGAGACTCTAAACGTAAAGAGCTGCTCTTGAAGGTTACTGGTGTCAGCTGGGGACCAGCTGTCAGGCTCTGATGCTGCTAGGGACTCTTCTGGGGACTCCTGGGTCACAAGGCTATTCACCCACTGCAGTCACTGTCCCTTCCCAGTGTGTTGGGACCCAGTGGAAATAAGAAAGTCAAAATATTTCTGGTTAGGATCCTAAAAGTCAACTTTACTGAGTGATAGTTTTTGTTTAATAATGTATTCTCATTTTAACTCTAATGTGTTCTTGACAAATTTACATTCCTTACCTAACACCACAAC